TACTGTCTTATAATTAATAGTGAAGCTATGATTTTAACCTGCGTATGACAAACAAACAAAACACCACACGCTGAAATGAAGTGAAAAATATGAACATTATTTAATAACTGATTCTCTGTAATAAACAATTTGAAAATATTTTACAAGGAGTCACAGACACAATATTTTACAAATTTTGCCCTCTTCTTTTTCATTTTTTTTTTTTTTTTAGCTTCATCTGTACAAAAGAATGGAGCGACATGGACCAGTGCCCAGAAAAGAAGGAGCTAAATCTTCCACGCACACCAACATTCGTACACTCACACACAAGAAATAAAACAAAGTGAAAATAAATTAAAAACATTTTGACTTCAGATCTCAAACTTATCAACAGTGCTGTATTCCTATATATATATTTTAAACTTCACTTAAAATTTGACGGATTTTATTACTTTTTTTTCTCTAAATGTTGCTGTTATTTTTTCACACACTTGTCAAACATGGTCACATAGCACCAGACTACAGACTACAGAATCACATACACACGTGTCTTTCCCACAGAGACGCACCAACACAGATGCAGCGAGGGTCGGGAGGGGGCGAGAGGCTTTTTCTTTACGAAAACCGCCCCCCTACTTATTTAAGGGTGGCGTCCTAAAGCTGACCCCCCCCCCCCTCTCTCTCATCCCCAAGCTGGTCCAATTTTCTATATTTTCATTTTTTTGGCAAAAGTAAATTTGTCAAACCACAGAAATCAGACGTGTGTGTCCCCTTTTAGAAGAATTTTTTTTTTCGTCGGGGGGATGCACACACAGACGTCACCACATGATTCCTCCATGACCTTCTGTTTGACAGGCCCGTGCTGCTCTGTGGAGACCCACTCCCTGAGCTTGCCTCTGACATTCCGCCCCGCTCACCAAAAAAGAAAAAACACCTGGGAAGTGACGTCCTTGGCTTACTTCTGCCTGGTGCTTGACATCTCCCAGCTGGGCACGAATAAGTGTCATTACATGTTTGCTTAAAAGGTGTGTGTTGTGCATAATGTCTCGGTGCAGGTGCAGAAAACTGTAGGCCTACATATTTAGTTTATGTGTGAAAGTGTATATGCGTACAGAGCCAGGAAAAAGAGAGGAAGTTGCAGGGGGTACATTTCCACAGGCACGTGTAGCGCTCATTTACAGACAGTGGAAATAGGGATATACAGACAGAATTAATGGCACAGGACAGAGACAAACAAATGCCAGAAAAGTTAAGACTGCATCCAGTCAGTAGGAGGAGCCAGATTGATTAAAAACACACCTTAGATTTATTTTTTTTAACAGTGTTTTTTTTTCCGGAGTGAGATTTTGTTCATTTGCAGTTACTGTGCCAGCATGTTTGTCACATCAAATAGTACCAACAACTGTACAGAGTGTGTAGTTAAGGTTCAGATTGTTGTGTAAATCGTCCCTCCTGAGCAACACAGTGTGGGTTTGGGTGGGTGTGAACATCGAAGGTCGGAGGCTTTTTAAAATGTATAACTCCGACCTGCTTTCAAGCATTTAATCAAACAGGCATCAATCAATAACGAATCATTCCAAGACGTAAAAATACAAAATTAGAGCTCACTATACTTACTGCAGAACACCAAAATAAAACCCAGGGGGAGGGAATATTTTAGGATCTATTTGTTTGTGTGTGTGAAAGAGTGTAGATGGAGGGGGGGGATACGTATCAGAGCTCCGCACTGTGTAACACTAAGGCATTTAGAGAGGCTTTGTTAACTATGTTGCATTTGAAGCATAAAACACTGATGAACTACACATTCTTTCAGACACCTCTGCTCCCCCTTTGATTCATTTTTAGGCAGACTGATGGTTGAAGATGGATTATTTTTGTTTCAGGAAAATCCCTTTTTTTTTCTTCACAATAACACTGGATTTTTGTCCGTTGCAACATAGGAACAGGAAAAACAGCTATGCTACCACAACTGTCATCCTTCATACACTCCACAAATCATTTAAAAGACATTCCCCTTTAAGGGTTTTTAATGCAAACACACATCCACGCACAAACACATACGCTTCAGGCAGAACAATAGCAGTCAGGTGGCCCTAAAAACGCTCTATGGCCAGTTAAGTCGCTGTATACTGATAGTGTATCATAGCTCTATACATGGCTTTGTAAAGGAACGGTATAGTAACTCCATATGATGGCAGTCAGGCGGCTCTGGAGGGTTTACAGCGACCACAGCTGAGAGGGCAAATACATTAAGCTAGAGCCGATCAGTGCTGTGGCTCTGTGTAAAGCTATTTCTATAGCCAACAGATTCAGTCTCACAGGCTCCTGCGTTATCCAAAGCCTCAAAGATGGCTGCTTCATAAAGGTACTATACAGTAGCTCTACTTTATGCAGCCGATGTGGTCCAAAACAAAGTGCATCAAGGCACTATGAAACAGAGCGGCTCCTAAACATGGGAGTCTAAATGACTTTGCACACATCGTAATGATCAAATGATGAACTGTGACGGATTACAACCAGACTACTACTTGTACGATCACCATATTTAGTTGCCTCTTCTGCACTTTTGTTGGAAATGTTGATAAGCCCCTATCCCCCAGCAGCGAATGGTTTTGAAGTTTGAACAGCATCAGTCAAAGGTAATACCAGCCCCACAAAAAGAAAAACAATGAACAAAAAAAAAAAAGAGAGAAAAAGCCCACCTGGAACAACTATGAGATGGTCATGAGGCAGAGATCTTGGTGTGTCTGTTGTGTGAACAGAAGTAAAGCACATTTACAAATCGTGATTAGGAGCTTTAGTAGAGGTTACTGGAGAAGCCTCATGAGGATTGGCAGAGGTGAGCTTTCGCCTCAGAGAGCACAGGGGTTTCTTTTTTAACACCGGTCCAAACCAGAGATCAGAATGGTCGATTGATCCTAAAGGAGAACACTACACAACATCAACGATGCTCCAAATCTGCAGCAACCGAATGCTGATTCATATTTGACAGCTGTCACTAGTAAGTCAGATAGCATGGAGCCTTAAATATAAATATAAGAGGAAAGTACTTCAAACGTGAAATGTGATTTCCATCATGTAATTACAATAAACCCCAGTGGACGTCTTTTTAAAAGCATTAATCTGTCATTAGGCGCAGCACAAAATGAATCAGCATTCAGTTTCTGTGTCTCCTCTTCCTCTCGTGGTTTATCCTAAATCTAAATCAGAAGCCATTTCCTCCTCCTGTTTTGGCTATAAAAATAAGACCACATGAAAGTCTATCTCATTTTGGCAAGTAGATATAGTGCATAAATTAATTCATGTCTTTTTAAGTTTCAACACCTAACGACTTCCTTTTCAAATTAAAAACTAAATATACTGTAATGTTTGGAATACTCATCACTTCAGCAGTTTATACTTGACATTTTGTATACTTGACAGTTGTTTTTTTCTGTTATTTTCTTTTATGGTGGCTATAACTGGCTGAATGGTCCACAGCGAGACTCTGAGATGGAGGAGAGAAGGAGGAGGAGGAGTCCCGCCGTCTGTCTGACAGACAGAGGCGAAGGCCGACAGACAACCTCAACTCTTCAGTCTGTGATGAGGACGTCGACTCTGTCCTCTTTTCCCTGCCTTCTCTGGATGGTCGAGGTGGCAGGGTGGTTGTGGAGGGGGGGCGGGGGATTTGTTTTCTCTTTTTCTGACATTGCCTCATATGATCCAGGTGATCCGGGACCACCCGCTCCTCCTGCAGATGAAGGTTAACTGGCCAAGGACAAGAACGTCCGGCAGTTGTCACTAAGCGACAAGAACTGAAGCGAGCTGGGTAGCGCGGCACTCAGGGCTTCCAACTTGCCGTGATGGGAAGTCCCATTATTACCTATGACTATATCGGTGGGGGGGCGGATTCTTAGGGGCATGGAGGCGGGGAGGAGGGTTGGAGGGTTTACTTGGGAAAGAAGCTTGGGAGGGCTAAAAGGAGGATAAATGGAGGAAAATGGAATTAATGTAATAGAGAGTGAATGTGGGGGCTGACGGCAGGATAAAGCAGAAGCAGCTGAATGAGCAGTAAGGTGTAGAGGGACGGACGGAAGGAGTGGCCTCGTCCGCAGTCTGACGTGTTCTCCTGCAGAGGGGAAGACAGTAGCTGTGAGTACACATCCAGTACACAGGATATATAATGCTGTAGGCTAATGATCTGCTTTCTTGTCAAGAGTTTGATGAGAATGTTGATACCACTCATGGTGCTACAGCCAGCAGCTGGTTAGCTTAGCTTAGCTTAGCATAAAGATTTAAAACAGCAGGAAACAGCAGTCCTGGTTTTGTTCAATGGTAACAAAATCTGTCTGCAAGTAAACCTAGAGCTCACTAAGTAACATCTTATATCTTGCTTGTTTAATCTTTTCAAAAACTAAAGTACTGCCTTGGTCAGTACTAGTTTATAATAGTTTATTTTAACAGTTTATTCAACAGTGAGCAGTAAAATGAGAGTTCGGTAATAATCATAATTTTGCATCATCACTGACAGACACACACAGTGGTTGGATTGTTAGAAGATAGTAATTGTGTAAATGCCATTCGGACAGTAAAATAAGATGGCAGACAGTAAATGCAGTGCACTATATAGTAAATAGGGAGTGATTTAGGACACAGCCTTTATCTCGGCTGGAACCAGTGACTTTACCAGAGAGTCTCTGCTGGTTGCCTGGCAACCTCACTGTGATGACAAGACTCCAGATCGAACTCTCGACAAGAAAGCAAATAAGCGTATTTCCTAAAATATCTAACAGTTCTCTTACAGATAAAGAATACAGTTGTCATACTGCTGAAATCCTTCATCAATAAATTAATAATGATATTTTCCAATATTATTTTTATAGTATAAGACAATATAGATAATATTCCAATATGA